ATATGCCATTTGGCAAAGAGAACATGTCTGAACATCTACTCTCTGAAAGTGTTTTTTCCCAAATGCTTTGGTCTGAACATTTATTTACGAAAGTCTTGTTTAACTGTAATTCATAACTTTATTAAATATGGAAATTCCAGTGGGAAAAGAAACGTCGTTCTTTGACCGAATAGAGAAGAACAGTGAAGAAAAATGGTTGTCCTCTAGTTAAATCGACTGTGACAGAGATTTGAAGATGTCATGACTGTCTTTACCTGAAATAGCTTAGTCCATATACGATCCCCTATGTTTCTCTCTTCACATGCCTCTCCATTTGCTAAGCCTCCAAATTATATAAAGTAAGAATTAAGTTTGGCATCCTTATTGTCTCGGTAGTGGTTATTAAAAGGCAGCATTGTTGAACTTGCATATTTAAGATGATCGAAACTAAAATGCATCAGTTCATGTTTAATTACTTAAAAAGTGGAAGTTACGTATGCATTGTAGAACATCCACTCTCTATAGATGCATTTTGGAAAACTTATTACAGAAGAACTTTAAGTGAACCCTTTAGTTTAAAATGTATATTATCTTCTCTATTAAAAGAGAAGTACCATTTATATCTACTAATTAAAAAAAAAATCATGTTAGACAATCTCATTAATATGACATATTTAATTATTTATATTAATCAATCAAATGTATATAATTAGAAAAATATTTTATTAATTAATAAGATATTAGAAAATAAATTTGTTGAGAAAATATCTAACAAGATCTGACGAAGAAGTTTAAATATTTTTATAAAATATGCATTATTTAATTTCATGATTAATATATATATAAATATCTATATTAATGTTAAATAAAAATAAAAATTGTTATATTGTATAATATAGTTATATTCTATATTATATTAAAATAAAATGCTATGTGAAATGAATATAAAAATATATTAAATTGGTAAAGGAAAATATTTTATTTTAAAATTTTATTTTATTCAAATAAATAAATAAATATCACTCACTTTTGAAAACATATTAAAGTTTTTAAATCATATAATATTTTTATACAAAAAATGTTAACATAAAGTTTTGTAACTCACAACAAATACATTATATAAATAGTTATATATGAATTTTTTTTTTAAACTTACAACAATATATTTTATAAATTTAATTAAAAATATAAAATTATACAATTATACAATATATAACAAGAGAATGTGAATCATATATGTTTGAAAGGTATTGTTATATTTTTATAAAATGAAAAAATATCTGCATAGATGTGCGGGTTCAAAATCTAGTTGATTATTAATAAGGCTCCATGTATGATACAACCCATGCACAATTACCAACAATAATTTTTACTTAATCATTATGTTGGACAATAAAACTATACCAAATCTTATTCTTTGAGAATTAGTCTAGGCTTGGGATACCCAAAATTTTAAATCTGAATTTATATATTTTCCTTATACTATTTGATTTATATACTAGCAAATACCTAAATTAACACTAACAAAGTCCTAAATCTCAGCTGTTGAACATGAAAACGCTAATAATATTAATAATCGATCAAATCATTACGAAGATAAGATATTAAAATATAAACACAAATGAATTCTTCGGTCATTCTTATATCAACCAAACAAGTTGTGTGATTTCCACTGTTTCATTCATCTACCCTTAGAGACAACACGGAAAAATAAAAGTTTAAGAAAAAACACACAACAAAATCATATTCACAAAATTACAAAACACATCAACAATGTATCCGGCTCCGCGCTTGTGCGAGGGCTATACCCCCTAGAATTATTAGCGTTCACGTAGAATAAAGACATAGATAAGGAGAACATGTCTACGTCGGATTAAAAAATTAGCCAATGCCAAGTGTAGCTTCATAGATCCTCCTACTTTAGGTAGCCAACGTGAACGTGATCCTGATCTACGATTATTTTAAGCTATAGAAGTGAAGTGAGTAGTGTGTGTATTAACATGCTTCACTTGATCAATTGAATAGCATCAAAGTTGCTTTTTTTTTTTTTTTGCAGAGAGCACACTATATGGATCTCAACATTAAAGAAATCATGGAATCCAGTCCGAAAATAGGGGGGAACGAGGATATACAACCATACTTTATAGTCAGAGTATGAGAAAGAAATAATATGCAATTTCCCCACAACTTCATTATTTATTTGATTTTATAATACCTTGCCCTAAAACACATGTAGCTTAGTTTCTATGCATCGTGTGTCTTTATTTTGATGTCTACATAGTGGACAATTGATGTTAGTAGGCATGTCTTTCGGTTTTTTATTTGGTTTGATCAATGATAAAATCATAAATAGTGTGCTAAATTTTTACATTTGAAAATCTCAAACATCCATCACAAACACAACCTTAAATCTTTCCCCTCTCTACTCTCACTTGAATACAAATGACTAAAGCAAATTACAAATTGATAAAACTATTCACTTTCACAAAATAAAATTGGAGACGAAGTAAAATGCTTACCAAGTCTCTCAAATGGTTCCTAACTTGAACAAATAACCCAAATATACGAACATAACCTTTAAATATTATAACTTTTGCATGATCTCCAGAAATAGCAAAAACAACTTTTTACCATTAGCATCGATCTAATATTATTATAGGCAAAAATCCGGGCGTAGCCCGGGAAAATCTCTAGTGAAATATAAAGATGATTTGATCTGACCTTCTCTAGACATTTTTTGTATAAATAATAAAAGTTATACTATTTTCTGAAGATACATGGCTGTTGTTGAACAGTTTATTAAAAATAAATATAGCGGAAAACGGTAATATTACAAATTTAATAAAAAAATACTACCCTCACAAAAACTAAACTGTTATTTTCAGTCATTGTTTAGGTTACCCTTATTTTCCTTTGATTAGAGATTACTTTAAAGATTTGTAAGCTTTGGGAAAATGAATTCATACTCTACTTCTAGACCCATTAGTTATCATCATTTCTATTGCTTTGATGATTTATTCAAAAATTACATGTGTTTCATGTTTGAGTAGTCAACTAATTAAACTTAGGGTTATTTCAAGGAACCATATATTTGTGAAACTAATATCTAAATGTAGAGAATTATTTACTCGGTTATCTTTTTTAGGCTATTCTTAAAGTTAGGTTTTTTACGCACCAAATTATTTTGACTAAATGCATGAATTAACTTAGAATGAGTGAAATGATCTTAATCAACGGGAGTTGGATTTTAGGAGTTACGTCTCACCTTAATGATAGTCGTGAACTTTCTTCCCATTTAGTAAGGTCAAAAAAATTGTTGATCTTGTAAAGTTTTTTGTATTAGATAATCATTAACATTGTACAGCGGCTCTATATATATAATGAGAGTAGAGCTAGGATATTACAAACAGAGTAAATGACAATATATTATGTGTCCTTAAATGGATAGATTGAGAGAATCAATCATGATTATGATTGATATTCAATACACCCCTCAAGATTGGAGGTTTGCAGACTCGTATCTTGTTTATTATTGAGGTGAACAAGGGTTTTGAGAGCGTTAGTTGCGTTGACACAAATGCAACCCCGTACGACCCCTTTTTGTTTCAATACCCAAGAAGTAGTTTAGCTCTTCATGATCCTTGACTGAAAAATGGCTTGCTAGTACATCAAGTGTTTTTTGAATCAGAGACTTGTCATTTCCAGTAACCAATGTTACGTCAACATACACCAAAATGTAAACCATTGAACTTCCTTTCCGCAGTATGAACAAGGAGGTATGCGAAACATAATTTATGAAGCCAGAGTTAATATGGAATGTCGTAGCTCAACATACCAGGCGCATGGAGCTTGCTTGAGTCCATAAATCGCTTTTCTGAGTTTGCAGACGTGATTAGGCTTGTTGTTTTCAATAAAACCCGGTGGTTGTGTAGACTTCATCCGTTAGAGTACCTTGCAGAAACGTGTTATTAACATCAAACTGGCATACTGGCCAGTCTTGCTCAATTGCAATCCTAAGAACTAAGCGGATGGTCATCGATTTGATTACGGGACTGAAGGTTTCTGCGGAATCGATACCATGATGTTGATTATAGCCTTTTGCCACTAATCGACATATGGGACGTTATTTCGTGGTGAACAGCCAATGGCAGCCATCGATCGTAACATCCCCAGATGGTCGCAGAACGTTGATTACAGCTCTTGCCTTCGTCTACTTGTCGGAACACGGCGAAATCAATATTGTTCTACAGATTTTTGCTGTGAAAAGCAAGGAACCAGAGCAGTAAGGTCTCTCATGTTGAGCTTAGCAAATATAAGCTCAAGTATGTCTCTGTTGAGATTTTCCAACTTTGAAATTTGTCTTGAGTGGTCTACCTTATCCATCACGTTTCAACTACATACAACAAATGAGTAAAGGGTTTAAACAGAATAACAAACACACAAGCCCAACAATTTACAGCATATTTAGAATAAGTCATCTTGATTTATAACTATTGTTAAATTAAAAAAAAAAATCAGAATTTTTTTTGCTCTCCTTTGGTTTAAAATTGAATTACTATTTTAGAAAACAACTATTTTTTAAGAAGGCTGGGGTAGTCTTTATTGAATATCTAGAGTTTAATATTTTAGAAACAAAAGTTCTTTAAGAAGGCTGTGGTAGTCTTTATTACATATCTAGAGTAATAAGAGGTACATATGTAAATGAAATATTGACTATGAGACAATTTGATGAAGAACTTCTAAAAAAAAAAAAAATTGGTATAAATGTTAAAATTTATACCATTTCCGAAGATTCATTGTTGTTGTTGAGCAACTTATTACATAGAAATACAGCAAAGAAAAACGAAAAGATTACAAGTTAACAGAATTAAGAGAACTGGAAATAGACTTCAAGAAGCAGATGATGTTGGTGGGTAGGAGATACACATGTCTCGCATGAAGCAGTAGACTGGGAGAATAGAAGCGGAAGAGGAGCAAATGCGAGAATTACGTTCGCATTGATATTATTTTCTTTCAAAAGTTCAGAGCTCAAGTTCCTTTATCTCATCATTTCTCCAACTCTCAGAACCATACGAGCGGAACCCTTCAAACCATCTCTTATCTTTGCAACCGGTACAATTGTTTGAACAACGTATAAATTGGACATGCTTCTGATTGGCGGCTTGTACAATATTTTCCATAGTTACCGTCTCGTCATCGAACTCTCTACAATGTGAAATATTAAGGATCACGAGGTCTTGGAGGCCTGTAATTAGCCTTAAAACTCCTGGTCTGCTGATATAAGCGTATTGCAAACTCAACCTCTCGATGTTCTTGAGGTAACTCACGATTTTCTCAGCAGTCTCTTTTCCCAAACAACCCACATATTTAAAGTTTGTGAGGTTACTACAGCGCTCTCCCACTACTTGAAACTAAAAAGTGTTGGTTAA